TCCTGTTGATTGGCCCAAAGTCATCCAGCCAGCTTTCATGCCTAAGGTGGGACTAGAACTCCCAGTCTCCTGGTGATTGGCCCAAAGTCTTCCACCTGTCTTTCATGCCTAAGGTGGGACTAGAACTCCCAGTCTCCTGGTGATTGGCCCAAAGTCTTCCACCTGTCTTCCATGCCTAAGGTGGGACTAGAACTCACCGTCTCCTGTTGATTGGCCCAAAGTCATCCAGCCAGCTTTCATGCCTAAGGCGGGACTAGAACTCACCGTCTCCTGGTGATTGGCCCAAAGTCTTCCACCTGTCTTTCATGCCTAAGGTGGGACTAGAACTCACCGTTTTCTGGTGATCGGCTGTGAAGAAGGGGCTGAGCCTAAGTCCTTCTCAGGGAGCTGTCATTGTTGAGGAGACTAGAATCCAGGTCTCCCAGTCCCTGGTCCAACTCCTTCCATACTAGACTACGCTAACTCTTGAACCAGCCCATCATCCCCCCTGGAAGATCTGTGCCCAAGGGTGGCCTAGAACTCACGGTCTCCTGGCTTCTAAACCACCATCTTTAACCACAACATTGCCTGGTTAAAGGCTGAGAGGAGGGGCAGGTCCAAAATCATCCAGCTGACATCCATGTTTAAGGCAGGACTAGAATTCAAGGTCTCTTGCTCTTTGCTGCCTTGAACTGTGATACCAAATTGGTTCTCACTTTATTAATCGACTAGCTCTGTACCCGTGCTTCGCTACGAAACTGTGTGGTCGGGCTTAGTTTTTTGGGAGGAAAATAAGAGGGGGAAAATGTCTGCCTCTGCCTACCAGCATCCATCGGTGTTCATCTGGCTAGCGTCCTGTCAGTGTGTGAGAGAGCTGAGGGCTGTTTGGAAACTGAAGCAGAATTTGCCGCGTGAGCAAAAAGGAGACAGCAAGAAGCCTGGCTGTCTCTTAGCTCAACTGTTCCTGTAGTAAAGCTGCTTGCTGCTGTGAAAGTGAAACCGAATCTCCTCTCCTCTCCTTGTGTTTTGCTTTTCAGGTGGGGAGGGGGAGTAGAACTCCTTAGCATCAGAGGGCTGTTTGGAAACTGAAACAGTATTTGCTGTGTGAGCCAGAAGGAGACAGCAAAGAGCCTGGGCAGGGCTTAGCTCAACTATTCTGTACTAAAGCTGCTTGGTGCTCTGAAACCGAAACTCCTCTCCTCTGCTTGTGTTTTGCAGTTGGAACAGGTTTCCTTTCAGGTGGGGAGGGGGAGTAGAACTCCTTAGCATCAGAGCATGTTAATAAGAATAATACAGGAAATACTCCAAATGCTCTGAAAAAAATCCTTTCTTAGTGAGCCCCTAGAAGCCAAGAGGAACATACGTGCCAAATTGCAAGTTTGTAGGCTTTACAGTTCTGGAGATTTTGTGATGATGCGTGAGTAGTATTTCACTTTTATATACATAGAAGATTAATTAATTAAATTTTGCTTGCTGCCCATCTCGCTGCAAGGCAGTTCTGGGCGGCTTACAACACCAACATCAATTGTGTAATTGCCTTAGATATGTATGGCTTCACCCTCCCCCATTTTTTAAAATCAGGGCTGGACAGATTTGGTTTTTTGAACTCTCGGTGGCCAGGAGATGACAAGAGAAAGGATTTTCTGACTCTCTTGTTAAAACACAAGGGGTCACCTGGATTTTAAGAGGCCTCTTTGGTGTAGAGCCTGAGGTTCTCCTGTGATTGGTGCTGTCAGCATTTCAAGAGGTGGACGTAGCTGGGAAGATCTCAGCCATCTCCAAAATTTGTTTTTTGGGGAGAGTAACCTCTCCACGCTTGGTGGCTTGTAGGCAGAACCATCTTGGATGAAAGACCAAATACCGCGTCCAGTTTTGGCCACCACATTACAAAAAAGATGTGAAGACTTTGGAAAAAAGTGCAAAGAAAATCCACTAAGACGTTTAAAGGCCTGGAGACTAAAACATACGAGGAACAGTTGCAGGATTTGGGTATGGCCAGTCTGAAGAAGAAAAGAAGGACTAGGGAGACATGATAGCAGTTTCCCCGGATTTGAGGGGCCGCCACAAAGAGGGAAGGGGTCCACCTATTCTCCAAAGCACCAGAAGGCCAGAGAAGAAACAATGGGTGGAAACTAATCAAGGAGAGAAGCAACCTGGAGTTAAGGAGAAACTTTTTAACAGTGAGAATAATTAACCAGTGGAATACCTTGCCTTCAGAAGTTGTGGGTGCTCCATTACTGGAGAGTGGACAGCCACCTGTTTGAAATAATGTAGGGCCTCTTGCTTGAACAAGGGGTTGGACGAGAATACCTCCAAGGCCCCTCCCAGCTCTATTCTGATCGATGGATTGATTAGATAGTCACACCGAGCTTCTGCAAGTTTCTGCAGCTTGTGTGTTCCTCCATTTTCTCTGTGTCTTGCTGGCCAAAAGCCCTTGAGGTCATCCTGCTTCAAATGCACTGAGATGTTGGCTTTGGAAAGAGGCTTCTTCCAACCTCTAGAAATGCCATTCAGTTTGCAGGTTATTTCCTCCCTAGGAAAAATGATGGAAAACCCAGATGTCGCTTCTCCTCCAGTGTCTTAGTCTCAACTTGGCGTTCCCAGAACATTTGCAACTATGGATGGGATTAGAACTTCCTTCTATTGTCCACACTTGGTGTCCCACAGCTCCTAACTGACGCATATTTCATCCATGAGTTGGCTTCAAGCAAAGCCATGGGAATTCCACCGTGCCGGTCATTCAGTGAAAAAAAATGGCCAGCGGCCGACCGATACTCATTATATCTCAGCAACTTTCCACTTTCTTCTTCTTCCGGTAATGTTCTGGACTTGACATTATTTGAAAGAGTCCCTACTATAAATCAACTCTTAGAATTGTTCTTTGATGATGGTGGTTTATTAATATAAACTTCTTTTTAGTGAGATAAACTTGCTTTCCAAGGCTGCAGTTAAAAAGCTTTTTTTAGTCCGAATACTTCCTCGATATGCCGAGCTTCGATTCGGCATTCCAGGGAACAATGACAATTATTCCTTGCTTTTATTTTTAGAATCAGATTCTTTTTTTTTAAGCAAGCAAAAAAATAATAATTAGTATTTGACTTTAAAATGTGATTTCCCACCCCCTGCCTTTTAGTTCAAATCCTAGTTAAACTCCTCTGATTTTAGGGGAAGCCATTGAAAATGTATCCTGTAGTTTGAATTCATTTTTCTTCTTCAGTGAAAAGGTTTAAATATTTAATTTCTTAAAAACAATAACAAAAAGGTTGCCGTGTGTAGAGGATTTCCTTCTTCCACTTTTAAATTGCTTGGGATGAGACCTTCCAAGTTTTTTGCTCTCATGGTTTAGTGACTGGAGGCTCCTCATCTGATTGTTTTCTCTGCGGCATCTCCTTCCCTCCTCCTTCAAGGCCATCCATACCCGGTAGTCCTCAACTTACAACCGTTCATTTAGTGATCATTCAAACTTACAAGACTTATGACTGTTGCAGCATCCCCTGTGGTCAAAATTCAGGTGCTTGGTCGTAAAACGTGGCAAAACTGACTTAAGAACTGTCTCGCTTATCAACAGAAATGTTGGCCTCAATTGCAGTCATAAGTCGAGGACTCCCCGCTTAGATAAAGCATTGCTCCCTCTATCATTCTCCTGGCATTTTTTTTTTTTTTACTGTTTTGCTTTCATTTTTCTGTGCAAACCTCTGTTCACCTTCCGAGGGCGATAACCGGACTTGGAGCAGAAAAAGGAGAAATGTGCACCAGTTTCGTGAATTTAATTTCGACGAGGATTTTTTTCCTTCTTCCCCAACAGAGTCCGTGGAGATGTGGATGTCACCACAAACCCACTGATCGGTGCGCACGGATACTGCACGCAGGTAAACAGCCCAGCAGGGCCCCATGAGTTGGAGGTTCAGACGACAGAACCAGTCCCTCTGGAGTTGTTAGTTGCTAAGGGGTCCAGTCGAGGAAAGCTGCAACACCGGGTCCCACTCTAGGGTAAATTATCTGACCAGTGTCGCCCTGGAACGGTCATCAACTCGCTGAGCTCCTGCCCTAGAGGCGATTGAGCCCTTCGGGGTCCCCTAAGGCAGCCTTCTCGGTGGTGGCCCCCTTCTGTGGAATGTCTCTCCGCACGTTCAATCTGCCACCTTCTTACTCTTGCAGAAAGGTTCAAATATGGCTTTGTTTCTGACCCATTTTTAGGAAGTTAAGCTCTGATCTGGCCCTTTCCTAATTTAGTTTGATTTGATTTAATTTAATTTAGTTTTTAATTTAATTATTTTAATTTTGTTTAATTTTGTCTTGTTTTATGTTTTACTCTATATTCTATATTACGTTTTGTTTCATTTCATTATTTCATTTCATTTCGTATTATTATATTTTATTTATACTCCACCTTTAAAATTTTAGAAATAATTGGAGGTGACAAACACATCCAGCACACTTTCCTCCTCCTTATTTTCCCCATAATGGCAAACTTTTAAGGTGGGTTAGGCTAAGGGAGAGTGACTGGCCCAGAGTCACCACAGCCAGCTTTCATCGCTAAGGCAAGAAGGGTCAAACTCCCCCAGTCTCTCTCCCGGTGCCTTAATTACTGGATCAAACTGGTTCTCTTTATGACTGTTTTCCATTCCTTTGGATGGCTGATGATGAATCGGTCTTCTTGGTTCACCTAGGACAGAGGTCTCCAAACTTGGCCCCTTTAAGACTCATGGGGCTTCAACTCCCAACAATTCTGGGAGTTGAAGTCCACAAGTCTTAAAGTGGCCAAGTTTGGGGACCCTTGACCACCTAGCGGGACTTGTATTTTTCCCGTCCTGCAGTAGAGGTTCATTGAGCGACCATTCAGAATAACAACGGCACTGGAAAAAGGTGACTTGTGGCTGTTTTTCAAACTTACATCCCTTGCAGCAGTGGTGGCTAACCTTTTTGGGAAAATTGTGCATGCGCTCGCACGCTCACACGCCAGCACCCAGAAGGCAATGTGCGCAGCCCCACCACCACGCCCCCTGAGCATGCGTGTGTGACCCACCCACCCCCATCGCAGGCCAGGTACCTGACAATCAGCCGTCAGGCGGGCGGTGAGGACACATGCACAGTAGACCTGCTCTGGGGGAGGGCTCACCATGCCGGCAGTAATGGCCCTGCGTGGCACCTCCGGCGTGCCATAGGTTCACCATAGGTTCACCATAGGTTCGCCATCACGGCCTTGCAGCATCCCCATGGTCACGGGATCAAAATCCAGGCGCTTAGCAACCGTCTCACGTTTATGACTGCTGCCTGGTCCCGGGGTCATATCATCCCCTTTTGCGACTTTCTAACAAGCAAAGTCAATGGGGAAAGTCAGATTCCCTTAACGACTATGTTACTCACTTAACAACTGCAGAGATTCACTTAACAACAGTGGCAAGAAAGATGGCAAAATGGGGCAAAAACTCACTTAACCAATGCTTTACTTAGCAACAGAAATTTTTGAGGTCAATTGTGGTCGTAAGTCGAGGACTAGCTGCAATTCCACTTTCATTTTAATTTCTCCTGTGCTTTTCCTCCTTTTTATCACCCAAGATCTGGTCTTGATGCATCCACCCCCTGCAATCAATCAGTCAATCAATCGGCCAGATTCGTAACTTCCCATCACTCTTCTGTCTTTCACTAATACCTTCAGTCTTTACTCAATCAGCAGTTGTATCAATCATGCCTTTAGATGTATATGGATTTATTTGTCATGTGAATAGAAACAGAAACAGACAGAACTTTTTTTTTCTTTTAAAAGAATAATTTCATTGAATTAAAAACATAACAAAAAGACATAAAGTTAACCAAGAAGGAAACGGGAGGGAGGGAAGAGAGAAAGGGAAGAAAAAAGAAAAGGGGAAGAGAAAAGTAAAAAACCGAGAAAAAGAAAAATAATAAATTTGTGGATTTGCATGAGGGATGGATTATGGGAAGAAGGCGATTGTAACTTTTAGGAAGTATAGGATCTCTAAGGTGGTGTTTTTGTTTTTGTTTTGTATTTGCTGTGATGAAAGTTGGAGGTCACCACTTTTAATATTTCTTTTCTCAATCAGAACTTTAGAAACACTCAACTTTAAACATATTCCCCAAACATTCCATGTTCATCTGCTATGGGGCAAAACTCACTTAACAACTGTCTCACTTAGCGAACAGAAATTTGGGCCTTAAATGCAATCCTATTGTCATCTTATACAGGTAGCCCTCGACTTACAGCCACAATTGAGCCCAACATTCCTGTCGCTAAGTGAGACATGCGTTAAATGAGTTTTGCCCTATTTTACAGGCCCTCAGTTGTTAAGTGAATCTGACTTCCCTTGCCAGAAGATCGCAAAAGGGGAATCACATGGTTGTAAAAGTGAAAAACAGTCATAAGCCTCATTTTTCACTGCCACTGCAACTGAACGGTCATTAAACGAACTGTTGTAAATTGAAGACTACCTGTAATTAAGCTTCCCTACACCCAAAACTGGAAGAACGTTTCTCCTTTCCCTGGAATTCATTTCAGGAGTCAAGCGATCGTATCGGATCTTTGAGCCTGTCTAAAGTCCCAACTGGTGTATAATCCGCCCATCGTTTTGTTCTCCTGAAACTAGGAACTGGTCAACTTGCTACTGACCGGCAGGGCCGTATCCAATGTCTTCAACGATGTGATGGAGCTGGACTCAGGAAATGGCAACTTCACCCTCCTGAAAGGGATCAGTGGGCGTAGCGATGTGGGCTTGCTGTCCCTCTTTGAGCATTACGACGTCTGCCAGGTAAGGAGAAGGCTGGTGGGAAAGCTGGTATTAACATCCCCTTTGCCTGGAATCATTTGAAGTAGATGGTACAGCTTTAAAAGGCCTCGGTAAGACCAGACTTGGAATAATGCAACCAGTTTTGGTCACCACGATGTAGCAAAGACCCTGGAAAGAGTGCAGAGAAGAGCAACCAAGAGGATTAGGGGACTGGAGGATCAAACGTACAGAGAACGTTTGCTGGAATTGGGTATCTCTAGTTTAATGAAAAGAAGGACAAGGGGTGACATGACAGCAGTCTTCCAATAGTTAAGGGGCTGCCCCAGAGAGGAAGGGGTCAAGCTGTTCTCCAAACAAAGCACCTGAAGGCAGGTGAAGAAACAACGGGTGGAAACTAATCAAGGAGAGAACCAACCTAGAACTAAGGAGGAATTTACCAACAGCAAGAACAATCAACCAATGGAATAGTTTGCCTTCAGAAGTTGTGAGCGTTCCAACATGGGAGGCTTTTAAGAAGAGATTGGACACCTCTTTGTCGTGAATGGTGTAGGGTCTCCTGCTTAACAGGGGGTTGGACTAGAAGACCTCCAGGGTCCCTTCCAACTGTTATTCTGTTATCCCAAGCTAATCAATCCATCAAGTAACTCAAAAGGAGGACTTTATTCGAGTTGAACTGACAAGATTTCGGTCGCCACTGAAGTCAACCCAAACATTTGCTCCTTCGGCCTGCATCCTTCTGTATCCTTTGGCCTTGTTCTGCACACCAGTTTTCTCCTTAATTCCATTTTCAAACGGCTTCCTTTTTTTAATTCAGCTAATCCTCGTTCTAGCAACCATAACTGAGCCCAAAATGTTTGTTGCTAGGCAAGACATGTGTTGATGAGCTTTGCCTCGTTTTACGACCTTTCCTGCCACCGTTGTTAAGCAAATCACCGCAGTTCTTCAAGTGGAAAAATGGTCGTTAAGTGTGAAAAAATGGTCATAAGTCACTTTTCTCAATGCTGTTGTAACTTCAAACGGTCACTAAAAATTAGAAGAATTAGAATTCTTTTATTGGCCAAGTGTGATTGGACACACAAGGAATTTGTCTTGGTGCAAATGCTCTCAGTGTACATGAAAGAAAAGTTTCAAGAGTCAAGAGTCATAAGGTCCAACACTTAATGATAGTCATAGGGTACAATAAACAATCAAATCATACTAGGAAACAGTCAATATAAATAGTAAGGATATAAGCGACAGAGTTACAGTCATACAGTCACAAATGGGAGGGGATAGGTGATAAGGAGTGATGAGAAGGTTAATAGTAATAGTAGTGCAGACTTTGCAAACAGTTGGACAGTGTGGAGGGAATTACTAGTTTAGCAGAGTGATGGCGTCATGTAGTCAAAGACTACCTATAAATTGCAAAATTGGAACCCAAACGGTTTCCACATCAATCTGTATTCGAGAACAACAATTCTCAACCTCATTACCTTGAAGACATAGGGGGACTTCAATTCCCAGAATTCTCCAGCCAGCTCTACTGGAAATTCTAGAAATTGAAGTCCACACGTCTTCAAGTTGCCAAAATGTAGAAACATGGATTTTGAAGACTTGTGTCTTTGGGGGAATTGTTTTTGCCAGTCACTCCATTTTCTTCCTCTCCCTAAATGAGAACTTTATAATCAGTTAAAAGATTATTTAACCGAAAACATGCCAGAATTCCTAATAGTTTGAGATGTATCTCTTATACACCTAAGAGATAAGAAAAAATAACAATAAAAACTAAAAATCAAAGGGTTTGCCTGTATTTTGATGGGTTTTGGAGGACAGTTTTATTTACTGGAGAAGCATGAAAAGAATCTCAGAAATACCCTTTTGGGGCTGTTTTCTGTTGATGTTGGCACGGCCAGAAGCCAAAGTGGAATCCAGTCCCTTGAAATGCATCCACCCAGAAATGCAGACATTCTTCTTGTCCAACGCTAAAAAGGAGGTTAAATCCCAAGATAAATATTGCAGCTTCTAAAAAGTGAAAACCCTTGAGGTTGAAGAGGTGAATCATTTCTTCTTCTCCAGTTTCTCTGCTTCTCCCTGTTACTTTGTGCCACACTAGGTAGCCTCCACAATGCTTGCCTTTTACTCTTCTCCTTACTTTTTATTTTACATTGCTTTACTCTTTACTTCTTATTTTACTTTATACTTTGCTTTTTACTTTATATTACTCTTTACTCTTTATTTTACTCTTTACTTTTTGCTTTACTCTTTACTTCTTACTTTACTTTGCTTTTTTATTTATTCTTTATTCTTTACTTTTACTTTATACTTTGCTTTTTTACATTACTCTTTATTTTACTCTTTACTCTTTATTTTTACTTTATTTCTTACTTTGCTTTTTTACTTTACTCTTTATTTTACTTTACTCTTTACATTATTCCTTACTTTACTCTTTATGTTATTCTTTACTCTTTACTTTATTTTTTGCTGAATTTTTACTTTAATTTATATTTTACCCTTTACTCTAGCTTATATCTTAGTGTACATTTTGTCCTGCCATGATCTGATTTCTACCCGTATCCTATTTTTTCCTCTTCTTGGCACCTGACACACCCTTCGCTTTGCGGTTTCTCTCTCCTAGGATTGTATCCCTTTGGGAATCAAAACTAATGTCTGTTTTATGGCTGTTTTCTCTCTTAAAAAATCCCCCGAGAAGCTGGCTGGGGAATACTAAAAGCTGAAGTCCACGTGCCTTAAAGTTGCTGTGATTGAGAAACACGTGTGTAAATCAACACCGTTACGGCAAACACCCCCACTCTTAAAATTAGTTTCACAGAAAAGTATAACTGGGTTTTGGCTGCTGGCATCACCTCTTACTTCTCTGGCAAAAGCAGATAGTGGGACCTCTTCCTTTGTTGACGTTTCAAGTTTTGTTGGTTTTTCCCCTGGCTCCATTACAACTGTCAAAACTGTTGCTATTTTTACAAAATGACCCACAAAGGCAGAAATCCTCAGCTCAACATTACTGTTTTGTTTTTGATGGGGATTTCTGCCCCAATCCAGGATTCTCGGCCATCCCGTCTGAGGTCTTGGGTCAAAAGGTTTACTCTCGTACACGTTACTCCTCGACTTAGCAACCATTCGTTTAGCGGCAGATCGAAGTTACAACATCACCGACAAACGTGACTTATGACCGATTTTCACATATGAAAATTATGACCGATATTGGAAGACTGCTATCATGTCATGTTAGTCTTTTCAATAAACTAGGTAAAAGTAAATGTAAAGGTTCCCCTCGCACATCCATGCTAGTCGTTTCTGGCTCTAGGGGTCGGTGCTCATCTCCATTACAAAGCCAAAGAAGAGCCAGCGCTGTCCGAAGACGTCTCCATGGTCATGTGGCCAGCATGAGGAAACGCCTTCAAAGGTGCACGGAACACTGCGACCTTCCCACCAAAGGGAAGGTAATTTTTCTACTTGCATTTTTTTACATGCTTTCGAACTGCTAGGTTGGGGCAAGTAACGGGAGCTCCCTTCGTTACGCAGCGCTAGGGATTCGAACTGCTGAAAATACAGTCGTTATCTGAGGATGTGTTTCTCAGTTTTGGGGGCTTTAAGATCTGTGGCCTGATCTATAGAGATTCTCAGTCCTCCATGTCAGGGTTGTCACAGAGGCGCTTTTTCAGGAGACAACAGCTGGAGCACCACTTAAAAAAAAATTTATAGTATCAGAAGCATCTGTAAAAGCCTGAGGACCCGAAACGCAGTATAAAATCTACTATCCCAAATTCGGTACAGCTTGCTTTTTAAAAATAAAAATACAATCCTTGGACCAGTTTTCCCCCCCTTTGAGTTGGCTGGCCAAAAACCAGCAGGGGCAGTCACAAATGGTGATCACGTGACTCGACAACCCCCCCCCCCCCGCATGACATCATAAATGCCTGCTGATAGCCAAGGACCCAAATTCTGATCATGTTGACGATGCTGTGGTGATTGTCGATCACTTTTAAGAATGCTGTTATAACTTAGAATGGTCATTAAATAGATGGTTGGACGTTGAGGACTGCCTGCACCTCTTTTTTCAGATCATCATATGAACAGTTGCTAAGTGACCATTCATAACTCAAGGACTGCCTCTGTGCTCTTTCTCTGTAACGCTAGTCTGGTTCCCTCTGTCAGGTCTAAAACCCATTAGACTTTAATGGGTTAAATACTCATTCACTTTTGGTGGGCTTCCAAAGCAATGATTATTTTGAAATTAATGTCCCCAAAGGTGCTTTTTTTCAAGAGGCAACTGGACTTCCTGGTTTTTCATTGAAGATGTTTCCCTTCTCCTCCAAGAAGCTTCTTCGGCTCTGACAGGATGGGGTGGAATGGAAGGATTTACGCTCCTTGCAGACAGCTGGTCCGTTGCATCCTTTTAGAGGGTTCCCTTGAGGCCACTTGGAGGTTTATCCGTGTCCTCGGGGTCACCTGAAGAGTGCAAATGGGTGTGGACCCTTCTTGGAACAGTTAAAACGATTTGTGTTGTAGACTGGAGAATGATGATGCCGTATACCTTCTCCTCTGTTGAGAGAGAGGCCTGTTCAGTTTTGACCTAGATGGCCTCTTGGACCCCCTCTTTCAAACCAGCGGTCTTCTCTGTCCAAAGTGTGGACTTTGCTGTCTTCCAAAGAGCGGCCTTTGTCTTTCAAATGCAGATGGACCACTGAATCTTGTCCGGATGGGTTTGTTCTCCTGTGTTTGTGCTTCTTTGGGACAACCATGACCTGAATGACTGACATTTTAAATAAATGCACTTTTTTCCCCTTCTCCTTGTTGTTTTGCTCAGGTGGGCTGTTATCTCAAGACCCCCAGGTTTCCAATTTGGGTGGTGTGCAGCGAGAGTCACTTCAGCGTCCTCTTCTGCTTGCGAAAGGATTTACTGGCAGATTGGAGGACCGAACGGCGGTTTGACCTGTATTATTACGACGGTTTAGCCAATCAGCAAGAGGAGATCCGTCTAACCATCGGTAGGAGATCGGAAATCTTTCAAGAAATATGAACAAGGTTAAGGGAGTATCGAACATATGACCGATATAGCTTTCCTTGTGTTCCTGGCAGGTCATAATCCATAGTTTTCCTCAACCTTATCTTCATTAGTAGCACAACTTACAGACTTCTCAGATTTCATCTGTGCTAGTTAGGAATTCTGGGGGTTGTGGTTTCAACAGATACTACTGATATGGATAAATGAGAATATTTGTAGCTTAGGACTGAACTGTGGTGTCCTTGGTACTTTCATGCAGACATTTAGTTACCAAGCTAGGTAATATCATCAGTGCTACAGAGGAGAAGGAGGAGGACTGTGAGATCCTTGGTGGTAGTTTTCTTGCAGGCAATGACCCAACTAGAGGTAATGGAAGAATCTAGAGATTAATATTGGCCAACAAACAAGAAGTAAACAATACCCCAATCAAGAAATTACCAATTCAGACAAACAAGCTAACAGTAAACAATAGCCTAATCAAGGATCACAAAGAAAGAAATATTCCCACCAACATTGAGAGGCAATCCATTGGTATAAACAGAGCAACTGCCACTCCCTTCTAGCACTGATGATGTTACCTAGTTAGTTCATGAAATGTCTACAGGAAAACAAAACATGCTCAGAGAGCACCAACGGCCTCACAAATCTCCTCCTCCTCCTCCTCCTCCTCCCCCCCCTGCAAACCCCACTCCCATTGTATGTAGCACTGACAGTGTTACCTAGTTGGGTCATGAAACATCTGCAAGCAAACCACGAACTCACAGAGCACCAAGGACCTCATACTTCTACTGATAGGAAGGAATTTAATTCGCTTTTTTTCAGAGGCTTTGGACAGAGAAATGATTTTACCTGCTTTCTTTCTCTTCCCCTTAGCCAGTTTCTTTCTGTACTAACTTTTTAAGTGTAAGCCACCCAGAGTTGTCTAGAGTACCTTCCATGTTTCATTAATCATAATAATAAATCTTCACTTTTTGGAGAGATCTCCCAGGGACAGTTAAGACTGCAGGTCACCAGAATTACAGGTCATCCCAAGAAAAATATTTTTTGGGAAGGAAAAATCCAATTATGCTGCGATCTGCACATTTATCTAGAACACTCAGCCTTTGACTGAAATGCCAGGGACATTTTTCCAAATAAAGTAAAGAAAAAGGAATAAGGGGGGGGGGAGGGAAATAACAACAATAAGACCACAACAAGTTTAATTTTGTTTCATCCTTTTACTTCAGTCAAATCAATGCAGACAAGCCTACCTAAATGTGATCAGTCAGCATAGGCAAGGAAATCCTAACCTATATTTTATGCCCAAGGGAAATTGGTGTGTTTGTGCAAGTCTGTGTATGTATGTATAAGTAATCTTCAACTTACGACCACGATTGAGCCCAGAATTTCTCGTTGCTAAGTGAGACATATGTTATGTAAATTTTGCCCCACTTTATGACTTTTCCTGCCACAACTGTTAAGTGAATCTCTCTTTCTCAATCTCTCTCTCTCTTTCCCCTCTCTCTGTATCTATCTTTTTCCTTCATCTCTCTCTGTATCTATCTTCTCTTTCTTTCTGTCTTTCTCTCCCTCCCCCCTTCTATATGTGTGTGTGTGTGTGTGTGTGTGTATTATCTATCTGTCTGTCTGTCTATCATCTCTCTCTGTGTCTCTCTCTCTCCTCTGTATGTATAATAATCAAATATAAGTGTCAACAGGTGCAAGTTGTTAATACAGCTAATCCTCAATTTACAACTATTCATTTAGTGACTATTTGAAATTACAATGACACTGGAAAAAGAGGACACTGGAAAAGGTGAGACTGTTCTTGCACACCTACGACTGTGGCAGCATTCCTGTTGTCATGTGATCAAAATTTGGATGCTTGGCAACCCTTTCATACCTATGACGGACGCAGTGACCCCGGGGGGGGGGGGGAATCACGTGATCCCCTTTTGCGACCTTCTGACAAGCAAAGTGCGTGAGAGAAGCCAGATTCACTTAATGACCGAGTTACCAACTTAATCAACTGCAGTGGTTCACTTTAACAACTGAGGCAACAGAGGTCGTAAAATGGGACAAAGCTCGCTTAACAAATTCTTCACTTAATCAAGTTAAATGTTTGGCTCAGTTTGTGGTTGTAAGTCAAGGACCACCTGTGCAGTTGGGACCAAAAATTTATAGTTAAACTGATGTGGTTGTTAAGTGAGGCTTTGCACAGTTTTACCAGCTTCTTTTTAACCACTGTTGCTAAGCGAGTCGCTAGAGTCATTAAGCAAGACACTGCATGACCGCAACTGGTGAATTTCCTCCTGACTTCCTCATTGACTTGTAAGAGGGCTGGCTGGGTTAGGGTCTCAAACTCACCTGACCACACAATTCTGTAATCCCGTCGCAAATGCGAACTTGTGGCCAAGAACCCAGGCGGCAATCCCACGACCACGGGAACTCAGCAAAGTCAACCCCGGGGGGAAGCTGGATTCATTTAACGACCAGGGAATTAACTCACTTAACAATGCAGTGGTTTGCTTAATCACAGTGCCCCCCCCCCCCCCAAAAAAAGAGGTCATAAAATGGAGCCCACCACATGGGGGTGGGGTGAGGGGGGCGCCATAAAAATTTTAATAAATAAATAAAACGAATGAAATCGGACGGGACTCATTCCACAATTGCTTTGCTCAGCAGTGGAAGTTCTGGTCCCAATCTGTAAGTCACGGTCATTAACTCGGGGACTTTTACGGAAATACAGGAAAATGGCAAGCTCTTAACTTTTTTTTTCCTTTTTAAAACATCCACGGCAATAAATTTCAGGAAGTTTTTTTCCCTTTTTCTTTTTAACCACCGCTGCCCATTAGTTCGCAATTCCAAGCGGGCAGCCCTGTTTGAAAGACATTTATCGAAAAATGGCCTCCCCGGGCCCATTTTCCCTCTGTTGTTCTGCTGTCAGGTGCCCTTGTTTCCCTCCCTGCTCTCCTGTTTATTTCTCACCTCCGGGGTGTAATTGCAGAGCCGCGGAACCTGACATTTCTGCCTTCCTTGTGCCGGCTCCCTCCCCCTTTTAACCTGTTGTCATCTTTGGCAGCCTGAAATTTTTGTTTTCACAGGACGCCCACAGATCTAACTGCGCCATCTGTTCCCCCCCCCCCCACACCCAAACCTCCTGGTAGATGGGAGGGGGCGGGTGCAGTGTGTGTGTGGGGGTGCATGACTTCTTTTGAAAGAAATGGGGTGGAATTTCGCTTGTTCGCTCGCTGCAATTCCCTTTCGTTCTTTCTAGCTTTGGGGCAAACGTCTGGCCAGAAGTTGCATCCACCTTCTCCCGGCTTCTCCTGGTCTTTGAAAGACACCCACTTGGCCAAACTCAACCTTTGGTTGTGCAAAAACCCGAGGATCATGCCAGGACCCAGCACCACCCCGTCCTCCACTGTCTCCTGGAGCGTTTTCCAAATTCATGTTCCTTGCGGTGATGTCACTATCTAACCATCTCATCCTCTGCCGCCTCCTTCTCCTTTTGCCTCCCACCTTTCCCAGGATCTTCACTCCTTATTTGGCGACCAAAATATTTGAGATTCAGGATCTGTTCGTCCAGCCAGGGTTGATTTCCTCCAGCCTTGACTGATTGTCTATGGAGATTCTCAGTCATCCAGATCATGGTGGTCCCAAAAGTGCTTTTTCCGGGAGGCCTCTGGATTTCAATTGTTTTTAACTTAGAATAAAATAGAGTAACAGAGTTGGAAGGGACCTTGGAGGTCTTCTAGTCCAACCCGCTGCCTAGGCAGGAAACCCTACACCATTGCAGACAAATGGTTGTCCAACATCTTCTTAAAAACTTCCAGGTTTGGAGCATTTACAACTTCTGGAGGCAAGAACTTCCACTGATTAATTGTTCTAACACTCAGGAAGTTTCTCCTTAATTCCAGGTTGTTTCTCTCCTTGATGAGTTTCCACCCGTTGCTTCTTGTCCTGCGCTCAGGTGCTTTGGAGAATAGCTTGACTCCCTCTTCTTTGGGGCAGCCCCTGAGATATCGGAAGACTGCTATCATCTCTCCCCTAGTCCTTCTTTTCATTAGACTAGACATACCCAGCAGTGGTGGGATGCAATTTTTTTTTACTGTCAGTTCTGTGGGTGGGGCTTGGTGGGCTTGTCTTGTCTTGGTGGGCATGGCAGGGGAAGGATATTGTAAAATCTCCATTCCTTCCACACACCCCTAACCTGCTTTCCAGCTCCGTTCTCCTGTGCAGGGCAACCAAAGAAGACCCAGCCGATCAGTTGGGACTCGGGGGGCAGAGATGGGGTTGGCGGGGCCAGTCAGAGGTGGGATTTGCCAGTTCTCCGAACTTCTCAAAATTTCTCCAGAACTGGTCAGAACCTGCTGAATACCCACCTCTGATACCCAGTTCCTGCAACCGTTCTTATATGTTTTTGCCCCCAGTCCTCTATTCATCCTCGATGCTCTTCTCTGCACTTTTTCTAGAGTCTCAGTCATCCAGGTCACGGTGGTCCCAAAAGTGCTTTCTCAGGAGGCATCTGGAATTTCTGGTTTTCCTTTGAAGACCTTTCACTTCTCATCCTAGAAGCTTCTTCGGCTCTGGCTGGATGGTGAGGAAGGGGAGGATTTAGGAATGTCCAGCTGCCTCTTGAAACAAAAAAAACCTTTGGGACACCGATTGATTGGGTCACCTTGAAGTCCAAGCGTTTTCTCAAGAACCTTCTCCAGAATAGGAGTCTCCAACCTTGGCAACTTTAAGACTTGTGGACTTCAACTCCCAGAGTTCAAGACTGGGAGCTGAAGTTTACAAGTCTTAAAAGTTGCCAAGGTTGGAGACTCCTGATCCAGAATCACAATTCAGTTCTTCAGTGCTCAGCCTCTCTCTTATGGTCCATCTCTCCCGGCCATACATGATTCTGGGAAAAGCAGAGCTTTGACCGCACGGATCTTTGTCAGAAAGGGTGGTATTGTCAGAGCATTTGCAGTGTGACTACTATTGTGAGACAACCCAGGAGCAAAACGTGGCACACAGAGGCTTAGACATTTAACAGTGGCTTATATACAAGACATATACAGAAATATACGTGGTAGGCAAATGCCTGGCAAGCCATCGATCTTCTTAACTCTGCACAGAATACTGTAATGAAGACAGGACACCAGGAGAGAGAATACGTCCTCTAATGGCTGCCTTATATAAACGCCTCTTAAAGGGGTAAAACTTCTGTGGACCCCTTCTTAGTCTAAAACCGGCAATACCTATTCTGATTCATCTTCATTGCATCAGCCTTACATTTCATCAGCTCTTAAATCTCAATACCTTAACAGGTATCTCTGCTTTTTAATTTGCCACCTAGGTTTGCCATAGCTTTCCCCACGAGGACCATGCATCGTTTAATTTCATGACTGCAGTGATCTTGGAGCCCAAGGAAATAAAATCGGAGGGGACCATTCAAGTGTTGAAATATAGATGGAAGCCTCCGTCCATGTTGGTGCTTAAGACCAGATTCATTCCACAAACTTACTGAGATGCACAGGTGTCCCTCGACTTACAACTGCCATTCAGCCCAACATTTACGTTGCTCAGTGAGGCATTTGTTAAGCGAGCCTCGCCCCCGTTTTAAGGCTTCCCTTGCCACACGTGTGAACTGAATCACGGCAGTGGTTAAATTAGTCAAATGGTGGTGAAGCGAATCCGTCTTCCCCATTGGCTTTGCTTGTCAGAAGATCGCAAAAGGGGATTATGTGACACCCACCACGGGACATTTGCATCCGTCGTAAATATGAGTCAGTTGCTAAGCGTCTGAATTTTAATTGTGTGTCCATGGCAGTGGTGGGATTAAATTTTTTTTTTTTACTACTGGTTCTGTGGGCATGGCGTGGTGGGCGTGGCTCAGGGGTGTGACTCAACCAGTGTAACAACCGTCTCGGTGAGTGCATGTTTTGTGCGTTCACGCAGACGGTTTGCTACTGACCTTCCCCTGCAATCCTGCACTCTCCCTGTGACTTCAACAGCTGACACATGGCAATCCGCTGTGCCACGCGAAGCAGTTGAGCTTGAAATCCAGTAAATAAAGATCAGTATAGAACCGAGGCAGGCGGGCGGGCCCAACAGCTGATGGTTGGAGAGAACCAGTTTGCTCACAGATGATCCTTGGAGCTACCAGTTCAGTCAAACCGGACCGAACCGAACCGGTAGAATTCCACCAGTGGGATGCTGCAACAGTCATAAGTGTGAAAAAACGACCATTTTTTTCAGTGCTGTTGTAACTTCGCATGGTCACTAACGGAACTGCTGTAAGTCAAGGACTACCTGTAAATCTGTCTACTAGATTCATAACCGCTGGTAGTATTCATCCCTGTCTCCTTTAAACGAGGGACGGGTGAATTCCGCCGACAGTCGCCATGTCGTTGTGGGCAGACGGATCAAGATGGGATCGTTAATTGAGGACAATGAATGCTGACCTCCTTTGTCTCCACAGACACCTCACAGCTTTATGGGGAAAGCCCAGAGGACGACCTCGTTTCCCCTTTGGAGCATTGCATTCGGACAAAGTAAGTGCCACTCCCCTTCCCCATAACAGAATAACAGAGTTGGGAGAGACCTTGGAGGTCTTCTAGTCCAGCCCCCTGGTCAGGCCGGAAACCCGATACCCGTGATGGCGAACCTGTGGAGCATGTGTGCCAGAAGTGGCATGCAGAGCTATTTCTGCCGGCTGGCGAGAGGTCGCTCGGAAGAGCCCCACTGCGCATGCACGCACCCCCCCCCCGCCCCGCCAGCCATCTGATTGTCGGGGATCTGCTGTGCATGCATGGGGGGAGACCTGTGCACGGGAGATGCGTGCACATATGCAGGGGGCAGAGCACACACATAGGGTCACGTGCACAGGGGGAGGGGCGTCCATGCGCGTTGCATCATGGGTGCAAGCACGCGCACTTTCGTGGAAAAGCTTAGCCGTCCCTGCCCTATACCATTGCAATCAAATGGCTGTCCAATCTCTTCTTTAAAACCTCCAGTGTTGGAGCACCCACAACTTCTAGTGGCAAGCAGTTCCACTGGTCGATTGTCCTCCCTGTCAGGAAATTCCTCCTTATTTCTGAGTTGCTTCTCTCCTTGATGACTTTCCACACGTTGCTCCTTTCCCTGCCTTCAGGGGCTGTGGAGAATAAACTGACCCCTTGTTTTTTGTGACAAGCCTTCAATCATTGGAAGACTGCTATCGTGTCACTCCTCTTAGTTAGAGGAGACCTGTCTTCGCATGTTTTAACCTCCTGTCCCCTAATCATCTTAGGGTGTGTGTACATACATATACATATATACACATATACACACACATAAATTTACATTTATCCACACGTGTGAATTTACGTGTGTGTGTGTGTGTGCAGTGTGGATTCCATGCCCTTCTGCAGAATTTCTGTTTTGTTCTAGTCCTTGGCTTACAACAGTTCATTCAGTAAGGCCGTAAAATGGGGCAAAATTCATTTCACAAATGTCTCAAACTCAGCAGCAGAAATTTTAGGCTCCCTTGCGGTTGTAACGTCAAGGACTATCTATTTCTTTTTTTTCCTTTTTTTTTTTTTTACCCAAAAGTCACGTACCTTTGGGCAATTAATAAATGCAATGTGGTTTCCATGCCCTTATGTAGAATATCCTGTTCTGTTCTGCTCTTCTCTGTTCTGTACTCCACTACTATACAATTACTATACTGTTGCATCTATTCACACTGTTGCCTCTGTGTCCCTTTGTACCAGCAGCGTGCAGCAGCGATGCAGATCGCACAGTCACAATCTCTTCTTGGCTTTCCAGGCCGCCCTCCTCACCCCTTTCCTTGCAAACATGGGTGCAGATAAATAAATCTTTTTCCTTCATTCTAATTCCCCGTATACATCAAAGATATACACAGCAGACCCCCTTTAGCTAAAATATATTTTTAAAAAATGACTTCTATGGCAACTGGGAAGCTGCATGGCTCCAATCACCTCCATTGCCAATTATTTCCTGTAGATTTTATTATTATCATTATTTAGAATCCTACAAGGGGAAGAAGTGGGGGGAATTGCTGGGGTGTTTAGCGGTCGCAGATGATTTAGTGGGGAGAAAAATATAATAAATTTCATAATGGTCTCTGGAGTTTGCAGATTGCAGAATGGATTTTTTTAAATAAATAAATAAATAAATAAATAAATACAAAAAGAGAGGTGTTTTCTTTTTTCTTTTTTCCCACAACATTTCTTAGAATGTCTGTGCACCCGGCCTGGGGAAACTTAAATTTTTGATCTCTTTGTGAATGATAACCTTTTGGAAATATTTCACCCCTGGGCTCCGATCACACACCATTGCAAAGTCACTAGCATCTTCAGATTCCTTGGCTTAAGGTCCTTGTTAATTCAAGTCTCCGAAATATGATTAAGAAATTGATATGCTTAAGAAGTTGAATTAAGATCGAAGAGAGAATGGAATGTGGGTTTCCTTGATCTTTTTTGATCGGACAAATACATTTCATTGCCCAAAGGAAGAATCGTCTTGTCCTCTTAATCCTTCCTTGTTTTCTGTCTCCAAGGGTTAACTCTACCCTATCCAGAAAAGGCTACTTATGGGGGGTTTTTTGTTTATTTTTCTCAAACTTGGATTCCCCTCCCACCACAAATGAAGACCTGCCTCTGTTAGCATTTATCTTGCTTGAATTCAAATCTGTGTGATGCAAAAGATTTGTTTCCAGGGACAATAAATGTTCCATAAAAATTCCAATCAAAGCTGACAGGCCTAAAGGGAGAAATATACACTTTGTGTATTTTTTTTTCTTTCTCCCTTCAGATAACTTTCGGGAAACTCTGGGGCTTGAAGTCTGAATATGCTAGCTAGGGAATTTTGAGAGTGCTGGGGAATTCTGGGTGTTGTCCACCTAGGGAATTTTGGGAATTAAAGGGCTCAATTTTAGGTTTAATGTTCACACATTCTGGCTTGGGAAATCTGGGAATTAGTCTATACACGATTCCTTGGGAATTCTGATGTCCACCTATTCTGGCTGGGGAATTCTGGGAGGACTTGAACTGCATGCTGACTTGTTGACTTTTTGCATGAAAGAGAAAAAAGTGAAATTATATATGGTTTTCATGATTAGAAAAAAAAAATAGACTGTAGAAAAGAGATAAATAATGTCGTAACTGCAGAGTTGTATAAATTTGCACTTACTCTTTCGGCTGCTGTAAAAAATCAGATCAGAGTTGGAAGCAACCTTGTAGGTCATCTAGTCCAACCCCCCGCCCAAGCAGAAGACCCTACACCATTTCTGACAGATTTAGAACAATATTCTATTGTTGGAATGGAATGGAACAGAACAGAACAGAACAGAATAGAAAATACGGAATGGGATGGAATAGGATAGGATAGGATAGGATAGGATAGGATAGGATAGGATAGGATAGGAAATGGAATATGGAATATGGAATATGGAATGGAATAGAATAGAATAGAATAGAATAGAATAGAATAGAAGAGAAGAGAAGAGAAGAGAAGAGAATAGAATAGAATAGAATAGAATAGAATAGAATAGAATAGAATAGGAAATGGAATATGGAATATGGAATATGGAACAGAATAGAATAAAATAGAATATGAAATAGAATATGGAATGGAACAGAATAGAATAGAATAGGGAATAGAATAGAATATAGAATAGAATAGAATAGAAAAGAAAATGGAATATGGAATATGGAATAGAATAGAATAAAATAAAATAGAATATGGAATAGAATATGGAATATAATAGAATAGGGAATATAATAGAATAGAATATAGAATAGAATAGGAAATGGAATAGGGAATAGGGAATAGAATAGAATAAAATAGAATATGAAATAGAATATGGAATAGAATAGAATAGAATAGAATAGAATAGAATAGAATAGAATAGAATAGAATAGAATAGAATAGAGAATAGAAAATGGAATATGGAATATGGAATATGGAATAGAATAGAATAAAAGAAAATAGAATATGGAATAGAATATGGAATATAATAGAATAGGGAATAGAATAGAATATAGAATAGAATAGAACAGGAAATGGAATAGGGAATAGGGAATAGAATAGAATAAAATTGAATATGAAATAGAATATGGAATGGAATAGAATAGAATAGAATAGAATAGAATAGAATAGAATAGAATAGAATAGAATAGAATAGAATATAGAATAGAATATAGAATAGAATAGAATAGAATAGAATATAGAATAGAATAGAATAGAATAGAATAGAATAGAATAGAATAGAATAGAATAGAATATATCCAGTCTCTTTTTGAAAGCTTCCAGTGGTTTCTCCAAAAGAAAACCAGAAGTCATTTTTTAAATATTCCCTTTCTCTTTGATTTCTGAACCGTTGTACTTCTTTCCTTTTTCTTTTTTCTTTTTTTCATTCTCAGCATTTGTTCTTATTAGTTTTCACCTTTCGCTTTAAAATTCTAATAAAGTTATTATTATTTTTTATAAAAACCAAGAATGGCATGCTTTATAATATATAAAAACCAAGAATGGCATGCTGATAATATTTGGCTTTAGTTTAAAAAAAAAAAAAATCCCCATCTGTGCCAGGGAACTGAATTATTTCTGCATTCCTTTTATTTGCCCGGAGAATAAAGTCCTCTTTTTTCTAGGAGAAATAAATCACTGTCCGATACAAACACAATCATCATCATCATCATCGTGTACAACGTCTCCTACAGCAGTCGTGGGAGTTCAGACAGAGACCTGAACTTTTTGCAGCTTTCTATGACTTTTTAAAATGGTAGAAGTTAAAACCGGCTGGGAGGGAAGGTCGCTGCGGCTGAATCCGACACCACTGAACCTTCGGAGGGTCTTTCTGGGGTTCAGCTAAGGTGGCCAGCAATATTGTTCCAAAAAGCTGGGTTCTCCTGCCCCACTTTTTTGTCTCTTTCTCTGCTTCCCAAGAAAGATTTCAATAGCGTTAGTCAATTTGGCTCCGCTTGAAGCCTGGGCCATAAATAAGCATGAATGGTGGGCCTTGTTAAGAGAACAGCCAGTCCTGGCTTCTTGGAGCCTCCGTCCTGCAGGCAAAGGGCGCCAATTAGGAGATGCCGGCTAGGCCCCTATTGTCCCCCCCCCCTCCTGTCGAGACCCAGAAGCTGGGCCGTTGAATAACAACAGTTTGGGTTGTTCCCTCCAGAGGCCAGGTGGCCTTACTAAACCGTAAAACAGACCGTCTGAGATGTGCAACGCCATCGTGGATTCTTGCAAGGGTGGGTTTTTCACTTCCAGTCCATGGAAGAGAGGACTGGCCAGCCAGGAACACAGTGTGCAAATACACACACACACACACACTACACACACGCTTTTGGCTTTGATTCTTTCGTAGATTTATCTCGCATGCTTTTCATCCAAAGAACAAACCTTTGGAGGATCTGTCCTTGCTCAGAAGAAATATCCAGCGTGGGTTTTTGGGTTTGTTTTGTTGTTTTTAATTGCAGATAATCCTCATTTTATGACTGTAATGGAACCCGTTCCTAAGTTGTGGTGGTCGGGAAACAGAGATTGGCTCATCTACGCGATCACTAAACAAATGGTTATAAATTGAGGAATACCTGTATAGGTGGACCCTGACTTACAACAGTTCATTTAGTGACCGTTCAAAGTTACAACGGCACTGAGAAAAAACAATTTATGGCCGTTTCCCACACTTAACGACCGTTGCGGCATTCCCCCATGGTCACGTGATGAAAATTCAGGCGCCTGGCAACCGGTTCATATTTATGATGGTTGCAGTGTCCCCCCAGGGTCACGTGATCCCCTTTTGCGACTTTCTGACAAGCAAAGCCCAGATTCCCTTAACAACGGTGCTTCCAACGTAACAATTGCAATGATTCACTTAACCATGGTGACTAAAAAGGTCGTAAAACAAGGCAGAACTTGCTTAACAACTGCCTCGCTTAGTAACAGAGATTTTGGGGTCCACTGCGTTTGTAAGTCGAGGACCATCTGTATCTCCCTTCTACTTCTCCACTAAAACCTCTTACAAACTCCTGCCCATTTTAAGCCTTTCTTAGCTTTTCAGCCAGTGGTAGGATTCAAAAATATTTTACTATTCTGTTCTGTGGGCGTGGCTTGGTGGGCATGGCTTGGTGGGTGTGGCAGGGGAAGGATATACTGCAAAATCCCCCTTCCCTCCCCACCCCACTAACCTGCTTTCCAGCTCCATTCTCCTGTGCAGGGCAACCAAGGAAGACCCAGCCAATCAGCTGGGACTCGAGAGGAAGAGAATAGATGGGGGCGGGGCCAATCAGAGGGGGTATTTGCTGGTTCTCTGAACTACTCAAAGTTTCCGCTACCGGCTCTCCAGAACTGGTCAGAACCGGCTGAATACCCACCTCTGCTTTACAGGGAATTGTTGGAGGTGAACAACTTTTGGGGAATCTCCAAAATGAATCTCTGCTTCTTTGGGCCTTTCAGGTGGAAAGGAGCCAGGGTCAATTGGAATGGCACAGAGCCCATCTTGTGACTGACGTCTTCCAGCGAAACCAGGCTCCACCCCCCAGAGGGAACCCCGGGGCATTTCTCGTTGCCTGGCCCCCGATCGGATGCAAACCCACCGAAGGACCTTCGTCGTGGACCACCCCGGCCGTAATCCCTCCATTGCGGCATCCGAGAAAGGGTGGCTGGACTTCTCCTTCGAGCCTCCAATGTTATGGAAACGAGAAGGTCAACCCAAACCAAGGGGGAAAAAGAGCAGTAAATTTGTCCACGTCCCATCAAATTCCGTTGCTGAATCCCTGCCACATCCTGTGATTATATTGGCTGAACAATACCGATGGCAACCCCCTTTCTTGTTTAAAAAAAAAAAAAGCAAGTGATGACAACAATCTCTGAGTCCATTTTAAAGCTAGGAAGCCAAAATTAAACAACAACAAAAAAGAGCACAATTAAGATCTTGTTCCCAAGGACGTTTCGTTTGGGTAGTCTAAAATAGTTTGGAACCAAAAACATCACTGCCTATTCTTTTTTCTTTCATTTTATTTTATTTTTAAATAATTGAATTGTCACCTATCTTTAATTCAGTCCTTGGAACTCTCGGCTACTAGAGAACTAAACCGGCAGGGCCATCTCTTCTTTTAAACTTCTGTAACCGAAGCTTGCCTTTTTTTTTAGGCTCGAAATGTAGTTTGACAAGATGGTCCTGGACCTGTGGTTCTGTGTTGTGGAAATAAAAAGTCTGCAGTCTATTTATTATTTTATCTCCGTGGAGAAACTATTCGAATAGATCATACCGGGGTTGCTCTCCATACATGGATGTTTACTATTTAGGCCAGGGGTCTCCAACCTTGGCAACTTTAAGCCTGGAGGACTTCAACTCCCAGAATTCCCCAGCCAGCTTTGCTGGGGCTTAAACTTGCCAAGGTTGGAGACCTCTGATTTAGGCGGTGCTTCTCAAACATGAAGAACTTTAAGATGTGTGGACTTCAACTCCCAGAATTCGCCAGTTCAAATATTGAAGCCGGCTCATGCCTGGCTAGGGAATTCTGGGATCTGAAGTCCACTCTTGCTGACTGGAATTCTGGGAACTGAAGTCTATCTAGTCATGCTGGCCAGGGAATTCTGGGAGTTGAAGTCCGCACATCTTAAAAATTCCCAAGGTTAAGAAACACTATGCAGGATAATCTATGCCCCAACTGTACTAGTAGTGATGAAGTTGATAACGGGAATTATTATGGCCACGAACTGCCGATTTTTCTTCCTCACCATGAAAATGTTGACATATTTCACAGATAAATCAACTGAATAAATGGTCCAAATAAATGCTGGGAATTTTGGGGCGCACGATTGGAGACCTAATTTGGCATAAAAAGCTATTCCGTTTTTATTACAGAAGCAGAGTTATCATCCTCCCGCTGGCTATCTGTGGGAATAAAATGATCAAAGAGAGTAATTGGTAACTGGGACGAGAGTGCAATGCGATGAATTCTTCCCTCATTCACTCCCTAGGTTCATTTGGGTATGAGAAGCACCTTTCAGAAAGAGGAAAGTAATTTAGGGCTCCCTTTGATTTTGAGAAGGGACAAGATAGGGTAAAAAAAAAATGCAAACTAAATTACATGCTCCTTTCTGAGCCTTAAGTTGCAGAACCGCAGTAGAGCTGCCTCTGCATTTTTTGTCAGTCACATTTCGTCGTGAGCTTCTTATCTCAGTAAGATTAAAATTCTTTCTCCCCCCCCCTCCAGCTGCAACGACTGCGTTAAAAAAGATTACAGGACTGTTGTGTATAATGTAAGTGGTGCTACCTGGATTTTCCTTTCCCCCCATTATTGTAGACTTAAAAATGAATGTAGAGAATATTATATGTCACGGTGTAAATAAAAAAAGAAGGCTTAATATGAAAAAAAAAAATGGAGCTTTTCTTTTCTTTTCTTCTTTTTTTCCCCCCAGAAGGAAGGTTGTTCAGGAAACCAGAACACAAAAAACAAATCCCAAACCCTGATTAGGGGTGGCTGTAGAGGGGAGCGAGGTCAAAAAAGTCAAGATGGTTGATACATCTGCACAATTGATGCTCAGGGGGAAAGGGGAGGGGCTTAATCTCTCCGTAGCCATGGCTGCGATCTTGCCTGTTTTGACGCCTTGGGCTCCCGCAACATTCTGAAGGCTGAGATTTTCTGAAAGTAAAATCCATCCACCCTAATTTTAGGGTGACATGTTGTCCAGAGAAAAGCATTTTCAGGCTATTTCTAGAGTTAATTTATAAATCACAACAGAGAGCTTTTGCCTGTTTACGAAAAACCTTTTTGAAAAAAAAAACACTTTGAGTTACTGGTCTGGCAAAACCCTTGTCCCAAATGCCCACAAAGTTTACAGGATAACAGAATTGGAAGGGACCTTGGAGGTCTTCTAGTCCAACCCCTTGCACAGGCAGGAAACCCTATGCTATTTCAGACAAATGGTTGTCCAATCTCTTCTTAAAAGCCTCCAGTGTTGGAGCACCCATAACGTAATCAGTCATTCCACTGATTAATTGTTCTCCCTGTCAGCAAATCTCTCCTTAGTTCTCAGTTGCTTCTCTCCTTGATTAGTTTTCATCCATTGCTTCCTGTCCTGCACTCAGGTGCTTTGGAGAACAGCTTGACTCCCACTTCTTTGGGGCAGCCCCTCAGATACTGGAATGCTGCTATCCTGTCTCCTCTGGCCCTTCTTTTCATTAAACCAGACATACCCAGTTCCTGCAACCGCTCTTCGTATGTTTTAGCCTCCAGTCCCCTAATCCTCTTTGTTGCCCTTCTCTGCACTCTTTCTAGAGTCTCAACATCCTTTTTACATCATGGTGACCAAAACTGGATGCAGTATTACAAGTGTGGTACAGGGATTAAAAAGTGGTACATGGATTCCATGACTAACAACAGACCATTCTAGGCTACAGCAGCACTGAAAAAGTTACTTATGACCGTTTTTCAGACTTATAACCATTGCATTATAACCCCATGATCAAATGATCAAAATTCAAACAGTGGGCATCTGACTCAATTAATGACGGTTGCAGAGTCCCGGGGTCATGTTAACCATGTTAAGTGAACTACCTTTAAATTAAGTGTGTTGGACTAAACTTGTATTACATACAGCCTTTTGAACCGGGGACTTTCCAGTCTCGTTGTGAAGTCCTCCAGCCACTAATCCCCTTTCATGTCCTGTGGCAGCCTGTTCCACTGGCTAACAGCTTGTTCAGTGCAAAAACTCTTGCCATCTACTTTGCATCTGCAATCCATTTCAACATGAGCCCAATCAACTCAATCAACTGTTGAATCAAATTTCAAAAACACCGGAGCTTTTCAAGAAGAGATTGGATTTGTCCAGGATGGGGGTTGGACTAGAAGACCTCTGAGGTCCCATCCAACTCTGTTGCTCGGTTAAATTTCAAAGACTGAGTTGAAAACTTGGCAGTCTTCAGCACCATTGGTGTGACTGATCTTTAAAATCATTATTGCACACTTTTGAGCTCCTGTTTGGTTGCATCATCTGGACAACAAATCGTTGCAAAAGTTTTCATGCCACCAAATGCCCACCCCTCTTTCTTGGTCTGTTTTCTGAGTTAATAACGTGAACCAGCCTATATTATAATTGCTCTGTTAGATGCATTGTCAAGGTTAGGGCCAAGGCCAAGTCACCGTATGAGAACAATCCTCCTATCGCTAAACACAATACCAAGTTCCTGTTTGCTATACACACCGGAAGAGGATGTTCCCATTGGCATCTGTTTAAACGGATACCCTATGGAGTAGCAGCTGTTTTTATATACCTTGTGATTAAAAAAAAAGATTACCAGGGAACTGCAAACATAGAAAACAATTTACCACTCGGTGCAGGAATTAGAAAGTAAACTACAGTTTGATTTCATGGTGTTTGGTGCTCCATCACTGGAGGTTTTCAAGAAGAGATTGGACAACAACTTGTCCAGAGGGGTATAGGGTTTCCTGCTTGAGCAGGGAGTTGGACTAGGTGACCTCCAAGGTCCCTTCCAAATCACTCCTACTCCAAGCAGAACAACCAAAGTATGACAGAACCGAGGCAGAGTTTTGCACTTAGCTTCCCTGAATATCTGTGGAAATCTTAAGAGTAAGGTACAGATTTGATTTATGACGATCATAGATCCTGTCTATTATTATCATAAGTCATGACGTTTGTGAAGTGAGCGACAGACTTAGTGTTCTGACTTTTTTCTTTTGCTTTGGTTGTTAAGCGAACAAAAGTCGGTAAGTATCTACTGAGAGACTAGAAAAAGCAAGATAGGAGTAGAAGATCATCATGGGAGAAAAACATCTGTTTTTAAGACTGCCAGGAGTTGAAAACAACTGGATGGCACATAATTAATTAATATGCTCACCCCCAAATTATAAATACAGGTGGACATAACCGTAACGGAGCCTGCATATTATACTTACAAGTCACAACGGTCATAAGGGTGTCACCACATGATTGGACCTGTTATTTATGGCTCTTTTTTCCATCAGGATGTTAAGTGAACACAGTGATTGTTAAATGAATCCATGGCCATTAAGCTAACCACAGTGCGGTATTTTGTGGGAAACCAGAAGTAAGCGCCGGAAGTAAGAAGTAAGTTTAGCAAAAAATATAAATCATGGACTTCCAGGCCAATTTCTGAGTGCCCCATATACAACCAACAGACCGAGGAGGTGGCCTTTGGAACCAGGTCATAAGTACTTTTTGGGGTATGTTCAAATGTTCACTAAGCAACCAGTTGTAAGTTGAGGATCTACCTATATATGCTGCCTCTAGATATGGAGATTTAATTACTAATATAATTTAGAAATCTCCATTACAACAGCATCTTGGACCAAAACCTTATCATGGTTGCACCCAAATCTAATTTGATCTTCGCTCTTCGTCTACATATATGCAGCCTGCAAAGAATATCTGGTTTATTATTGCCCCCGCTTCTCCTTTCACTGTCTTCAATCTTTATCAAAGCTGAACCGGCTAAACAAAAACTCTCCACGAATTTCTTTCAGATCAAGCAGGAACCTCAAGAATTCGTCTCTTCAGAGAAGGGATGAAGCAGTGAATAATTTATTACTGTCCCAGACCAGGTCATAAAAATTAAAACAGCCCAATGCCGTCTGAAAAAGAACAAGCATCTGGCTAAAATGATAACCCTTGACAAACAGGCTGCGAATGGAGCCCTGGGTTTCGGCCAAAGTTTTTGAAAGCTGCTTCTTGCAATGTTTGAAGGAGGCGCTCTTTTTTTTCATCCCCCAAAGCTTCAAAACACGAGGGAGTGTTCGTCTGTCTTTGTGTGGGTTTAGGCTCCATTCCAAATTTTGAAAAACCTTCCTGGCCCATGACCCCTTGATCATTAGCGAGAAAAACCCACTGAATTTCGCTGCCCTGTTCTTTAAGAAGCTGCAAGGAATTCATAAAATGCACCGGAGAATGTACAGGACAAGTTTATCCTGTCCCCGCCTAAATTTGTATGCATCCAAGCACATTAAACATTTATTCGGTTCTGGTTATTTGGGTTTGAATAACAGGTAAAGATGCCAAAATGAGATCTTGAGAGGCATAATAAAACCGCATTTCTTTGGAACTTGAAAAAGCTCCTACAAGTAGTTCTGTCATATCCTTCAGCGTGAAAACATGCAAAGAACGGATCAACCTTCCCTAAAATTTCCTTATCCGTCCTGCGCACATTTTTAAACAATTCTCTTATCTTAACAGTCCAACCAACACCCTGTCTGGCCTTCTTACTGTCGGTATGTTTAAATAATGTTTTAATTGTTAGTCTTCCTATTCTTTGCCCTATGCTTAAAAATCATCCTCTGCCTTCTTTATTGCGTGCCTGAATTCTTTCGTTAATATCT